TTTTTTTTTTAATACTATGAATTGCAAATCCAATACTTTTTTTTTTCTTTTTCTTTTGATTTCTTCTTTTTTTTGTTCTTTGATTTGTTTTTTTTTTCTCGTTTTTCTTTTCTCTTTTTGTTTTTTTTTTCTTAAAAACCTTTTCCAGAAATGCAAAACTTGAAAACAAAAATGGAATAGAAATAGATGAGTAGGAAGAAGATGATAGAATGAAACGAAATGAAAGTTGAAATAGATAAAGGATAGATAAAACCTAGATTAGAGTCGAGCTCTGATACCAACTGATGCGGAACCGAGGACCTTTGCTCTAACTAGGCGGGTGGAGATCGGACCTCTAACCAACCGGTAGGAATCAACCTTGGCACAAGTCTAAAGACTGCCACGACCTAGACCTAACGCCGTGATTAGCAACCTTGGTATGCGAAGGCGCCACAAACGGTTATGACTGTCCGTTTGATAAGCCGGGTGAACGCCACGGATAGAAATCCGATAAGTTCAAAACAGTTCACAAAGAACTAAAAGAGAATACTCTCACAAGTTTGATTGATGAAATCTGTGTTTACAAATGAGTTTAGTTCACCTATTTATAGGAGAACCAAGATAATACCAAAAGACATAAGAAAACTACAATAAGTGTTAGTCTTCCTAAAACTTTGGAATTATTGGAAAAACAAAGCCATAATTGTGTTGGACTTTGACTTGAGTAGATTGGAAGCAACATTAAAGGCTTGAAGACTTGAATTTACAGAATTTGTTTGTGGCGCCTTCGCATACCAAGGTTGCTAATCACGGCGTTAGGTCTAGGTCGCGGCAGTGCACAAGTCTAAAGACTGCCGCGACCTAGACCTAACGCCGTGATTAGCAACCTTGGTATGCGAAGGCGCCACAAACAAATTCTGTAAATTCAAGTCTTCAAGCCTTTAATGTACATGATGGATCCAATTGCCGAGGCATATGGAATCCTACTCATGCTCTCTTGCTCATCCTGTGTCTTTGGACACTGAGTCTTGCTAAGAGCCACGTCATGTCCCATTGGCAAGGCACCCCTCTTGATGCGGAACCGAGGACCTTTGCTCTAACTAGGCGGGTGGAGACTCATGTCCGTGTGACAATCTCATGCGGGATGTACGACAACAAAGTATGGACTTTGGTCGACTCATTCGATGGTATTAAGACCATTGGATGTAAGTGGGTTTTCAAGAAGAAAACCGACATGGATGGCATCGTGCATACCTATAAGGCACGACTCGTCGCGAAAGGGTTTCGGCAGATTCATGGTATAGACTATGATGAAACCTTTTCACCAGTTGTGATGCTTAAATCCATACGGATTGTGCTGGCTATAGTTGCGTATTATGACTATGAGATATGGCATATGGACGTCAAGACCGCATTCCTTAACGGGAATTTGCTCGAGGATGTGTACATGACACAACCCGAGGGTTTTGTCGATCCTAAGAGTCCGAGGAAGGTGTGTAAGCTTCAGAGATCCATTTATGGACTGAAGCAGGCTTCGAGGAGCTGGAATCTTCGATTTGACGAGGCAGTCAAAACGTTTGGCTTCCTGCAAAACGAAGATGAGCCATGTGTTTACAAGAAGGTCAGTGGGAGCGCAGTGGTCTTCCTTGTACTTTATGTGGATGATATATTGCTCATCGGAAATGACATTCCTACCTTGCAAGGAGTAAAATCCTGGCTAGGATCGGTCTTTTCGATGAAGGACTTAGGAGAAGCCGCCTATATTCTAGGAATCAAGATCTATAGAGATAGATCGAGAAGGCTTCTTGGTCTAAGTCAGAGTACATACATTGACAAGGTCTTGAATCGGTTCAAGATGCAAGACTCCAAGAGGGGTGCCTTGCCAATGGGACATGATGTGGCTCTTAGCAAGACTCAGTGTCCAAGGACACAGGATGAGCAAGAGCGCATGAGTAGGATTCCATATGCCTCGGCAATTGGATCCATCATGTACGCCATGTTATGTACTCGTCCGGATGTATCATATGCATTGAGTATGACTAGTAGATATCAGTCTACACCAGGTGAGGCTCACTGGATTGCGGTCAAGAACATCCTTAAGTACTTGAGAAGGACTAAGGATTTGTTCTTGGTATATGGCGGATTGGAAGACGAGCTCGCTATAAAGGGTTATACCGATGCTAGTTTCCAAACCGACAGAGATGACTTCAGATCGCAGTCAGGTTACGTTTTCTGTCTAAACGGTGGGGCTATTAGTTGGAAGAGTTCCAAACAGCCAACCGTTGCAGATTCGACTACAGAAGCCGAGTACATAGCAGCATCGGATGCAGCTAAAGAAGCTGTTTGGATCAGGAAATTTGTGGGAGACCTGGGGGTCATTCCTAGCGTTGCAGATCCCATTGACTTGTATTGTGACAACAATGGTGCGATCGCACAAGCAAAGGAACCCCGGTCACACCAGAGATCCAAACACATACTCAGGCGATTTCACTTGATTAGGGAAATCATCGACAGAGGAGACGTGAAAATAAGTAGAGTGTCGACAGATGATAATATTGCCGACCCGTTGACGAAGCCTCTCCCTTCGTCAAAGCATGATGGTCATGTTGTGGGTATGGGGATTAGATGCTTGTAGGATAGATCATAGAGCATAGTGGGAGATTGTTGGTTGTGATGCTCTAGGATGATCCGTGATATGACATTTTGACTATGTATTGATTCATTGGTTTATGAATGCATTACTTTTCCCGTTATATGATTAGCATGTTTGTTATATTACGGTAAATATCCTTGAATCATTGCAGATGATTCTAAATTCCCTGGTCAGTTATCATTGTGGGAACAATGATGAATTAAGACCAGCATGATGTGTGATAGATGATTATGATCATATGCATTAGATGCAAGTCACAATCATGGGTTCTCGTTTGGAACGAGTTACTTGATGACCCGCATGAGATTGTCACATGGACATGAGTCATGACTTGAATCTCATACATCGGTTCGTTCTTGGATCCTCAGACCTGAGATGTCTAGAGTATCTGATATGAGGAGTGACGTGTCTTGACTGCGTCAAACGTCGTCTTTAACCGGATGATCATAACGGCGTTGCTCAGATACGTTCTCGAATCATATGCAGATAGTAGACATGCAATACGGGACTTGTCACCTCCTACGCAGGAGAGATGTCGCTGGGCCCCTCGTGGAAATCGAACTGTGAAAATGCGTGGTCACGCTATAGATGAATGTACATCTATTTTATCAGTCGGTTTGCCTAGACGAGTAAGGGTTGAACTTGAAGGGTGGCTCATACCATGCCCTTGTTCAACATACGACATCGTGAGACAAAGGATCAGAACTCGAACTATGAATGGCTCCCGAAACAAAGAGATGAACGAAGGATAGATAGGAGATTCGGACAAACCGAATCGATCCTCGGACAAACCAAGGATGAATCTCGAACAAACCAAGGAAGAAGCTCGGACAAACCCAACTAGAAAACTCAACACAAAGGTGGAGAGAATTCTGAAAATAAGACAGATTGAATAATGATCAAAAGGTGATTACAACATGAGTTCTACATGATTTAAATGGAAAATAACAACAACTAGAAATTAAATGCAACTCTTCATACAAAGCTGCAGAATTCTCGCCATTAATGAGGTAGGTGGGAGGCTACTAGCTGTTGGAGAAGTTAGCTTGCCCTCCAAGAAGCTTCCTTTGAGTGTTGTCTTGAGTTTGAAGCAATCTATTCTTGACAAGTGAGGATAAGCCGAGTCTTGCCCTTTCCGAAGGAAAATGGGCACGCATCTCCGGCGTTTGGCTCGTTCACAACATAAGACACGAAGGCATTGAATTGTTGTCGAAGTGCTCGTGTCTTGGATCGTGTAAGGGGTGGATCCATTCGAACCGGAATGGGAATGTTCGCCGGTTTGAGTGCAGCCACATTTGGTTCCTTGCTCGTCATTTGGTTAGGCAGTTCTTCATTTTCCGGTTCAGCTCCTAGCTCCGGTTCAACTCCTAGCTCCGAGTATGCTCCCTCGTCCAAGCTCCTATCCGTTATGTCGTCTATGGTCTGGATGTCCTCATCATTCCCTCCCTCTTGAGAGGATTTCGTCCTCGAAATGTCATCACCTGCGTCAAAAGGAAGAAGATCAGTCACATTAAAAGAGTTAGACACATTATAATCATCGGGTAGCTCCAATTGATAAGCATTATCGTTAATTCGTTTAATCACTCGAAAAGGGCCGTCGCCTCTAGGTGCTAATTTGGATTTGCGTTTATCCTGGAAACATTCGGATCTAAAATGCAACCAAACCCAATTGCCTTCCTTGAATGTCAGCGTCTTTGGCCTTTGTTGGCTTGACGGGCGTATTGCTCGGTTCGACGAGCGATGTTGTCGCGGACCTTTTGGTGAAGTTTCTTGACGAACTCCGCTTTCTTGTCACCATCAAGATTGGTTAGCTCATGGTCCGGTAGTGCTAGAAGGTCCAAAGGCGTAATCGGGTTGAAACCATAAACGATTTCAAACGGCGAGT